TCAGACCATCTACCCATAATCATCTCGATCAATAAGCCCACCGACTTTGCTCCAGCGGACCACAGAACCTACACCAACTTCAACAAAGCTGTTTCGGACGGGAAGTTACCGAGAGCAGCTTCGCCGCCCTTCCCACACCCACAAACATACATACTGGCGAACCCCAGTTCCGCAGGGTAGTCACTGCCGCAGCGGCTCGCTTCATCCCGTCCGGACGTATCGCGGAAGTCCGCCCAAAATCCCGGCCGAAGCAGCTGTACTAGCAAATGAGCGTGACCACCTACGTCAGGTCGCCCCGGGGACCCTCGTCTGAGGGACCTTAATTTGGAGATTCGGCAACTGGTAAATCAGCATACGCGGAAAAAGTGGGAGGAGCATTTGAAGGCCTGTAACTTCACATCTGGTGTGAGTAAGCTCTGGTCAACCTTGAGGTCCTTGGCTAACCCAACGAAGCGTGATGACAGAGTGGAAATCTCTTTCGAAGGCCGCGCTTCGTCGGACCCGAAGAAATGCGCAGCCTACTTTAGTAGGCAATTCACACTGCATCCTTCGGTAGACAGGGCCAAACGTCGAGTGACTCTCCTCTCTTTGGCTGCACAAGCTGCCAAAAAACAGTGCACCACTTGTTTTCACCAGCTGTGAAGTGAAGGGGCCATCGGGATGGCGAAAGCCTCCAAAGCCATTGGACCCGACGGAATCTGTATGCTGATGCTAAAACATTTAGGGCCTAAAAGAGTAGCTTACCTAACGGAGGTCCTCAACCTGTCTATGGCCACTCTCATCATTCCTGATATGTGGAAATCAGGGAGAGTGGTCCCACTGCTGAAACCGGGGAAGCCCGCCAACAAAGGAGACTCTTATCGCTCGATAACGCTCCTTTCCAAGGTCGCGAAGACACTTGAGGCCCTACTACTCCCATACTTCACCTGCCACCTGACCCCAGCGAAGCACCAGCACGGATTCCGTAAAGTGCACAGCACAACAACAGCACTAACGCCATAAACACCCAAATAACTCGTGGCCTAAATCGAAACCGCCCCAGTGAGAGAACGGTCCTAGTAGCGCTGGACTTGTCAAAGGCCTTTGACACCGTCTGCCATTCCACGCTACTAGAAAACATAGAGGCCTCCTCACTCCCACAGGGACTGAAGCGATGGTCGGCGAATTATATGAGTGGTCGACAGTCGTCAGTAATCTTCCGAGATCAAAACTCGAAACCAAGAAGGAGAAAACAAGGGGTTCCACAAGGTGATGTCCTCTCCCCCTTTCTATTTAACTTCTACATCTCGAAGCTTCTTCAACCACCTGAGGGAGTTTCCCTGATCTCATACGCTGACGATTGCTCGATTTTGGCGTCCGGGAATGGAACTGATGACCTCTGCTCAACAGTAGACGATTATCTCTCCAGCCTTTCTCGCTTCTTCACTGCAAGGAGCCTAACACTCTCCCCAACAAAAACAACGGCGACCCTCACCACCTGGACGAAGGAGGTCAGGCTAGAATTAGGTATACACGTCGATGGCACACCAATACCGACTGTAAACAACCCGAAAATTTTAGGGGTCACCTTCGATAGCCTGCTCTCCTACTCCACGCACACAACCGCAATTGTCAATCAAGTACAGAGCCGCAACAAGGTCCTCAAGTCGCTCGCCGGCAGCACTTGGAGCAAAGACAAGGAAACGTTGCTGGCAACATACAAGGCAATTGGCCGGCCGGTTCTAAACTATGCTGCGCCAGTTTGGACGCCGGGGACGCAGTGGACGAAGCTACAGACTTGTCAGAACGCCGTACTCCGGACAGCGACTGGGTGCCTTCTGATGATGCCTGAGCACCACCTACACAGCGAGGCCCAAGGGCTCCCCGTAAGGGAACACAACAAATGCTTGGTAAGCAAATTCCGGTGGGGTGTCACAGAAGAGAACACCCAAACAGACCTTTGCTTCAGGAGGAGCCTCCGGCCAGGCACGTCAGGGGGCACCTATTCGTATACAAGGACGCAGTCCAACAATACGTAGACCAACCACTGGACCCGACGACATACAGACGACCCATTAACGACATCCATAGAGAGTCAGTTACCATCTACCTCGACTCTCGACCTATGAATGCGTAATAGGAGCCCACACACCACCTGTAGAAGAGACGGAGCTGGAATTGCCAAGAGAGACCCGCGTTACCCTGGCTCAATTACGGTCTGGATACTGTAGCCGCCTCAACAGCTACCTGTCCAGACTCGACCCCAATATCCCCAATGAGTGCCCGGCATGTGGAGAATCCCCCCACGAGACCAACCACCTCTTTACATGCCAGCTCAATCCGACTCAGCTAACACCCCTCTCCCTCTGGTCCGAACCCATTGAAACAGTTAGTTGAGCTTGATGAAAGAGACATCTTCCGCACAAGGCCTTCACGTGCTGGCCTCAATGGTGCGATTGTGATCTAATTTCATTCCCCTCTTGATCGCAATCGCATTCTCCGTGCTTTTGGCGACTATCGCAGGCGTATGAAGTCTGCTGTTCCCCTGCAATCCCCTGGCATCCAGGGGAATTTTCACCTATTTGAAAGCCTAACCAAAGGACTACTTTTGCAAGCGGCCATAAAACTGCGGCGTGAGGGGAAGTTGCAGTCTGCATTCACACTCCGCGGTTGTGTGCATGTAAAATTAACCAATGATAAAGCAAGCCAACCTACCAAAATTTCGTGCGAAGATGATCTGGAGCAGTTTCGCTAGTTGTAAGCTTATGTGTTTGTTTGATTGTATGTTTGTTGTTTTGTTTTTTGTTTATTTTTGTAATGTAAAGATAGCGAAACTCAGATTGTTTTGTTTCGGTTTCTTTTTTTGTCTTCTTTTTTGTTGCCTTAAAGTTGCTTTTACTTCTGCTGCTTTAAATGAGTGCAAATGATAGAACGGCGAATAGCATTGAAGACAATAGCCTTGCAATGCTGAACATTTTGTGCAGGCGCCAAAAGGGGTTCAACGTTGTGCACTTTAATGCGCGCAGCTTGAATAAAGAAAAAATGGAGGTGATAGAGGAGTATTCGAATTATCTAGTGTTGATGTCATTTGTGTATCCGAGACTTGGTTTAGACCTGAAGTAAAAGATGCCCACTTTGACATTAAGGGTTACACAATTTATAGAACAGATAGGAAGATCAAGAGGGCTGGTGGTGTTGCTATGTATTGTAAAAAGTATTTAAAAACTCGGTTGATATCAAGAATATCTGGTAGCGCTACTGAGCATGTGTTAGTTGAAGTGACTAGTTCATCGTCTAAAGTCCTTTTTGTCTTGCGTTTATAATCCTCATAAATGTTGTAATGTGAATGAATATTTTAATATGTTGTCCTCTGTCGCTGTTGATTATAATGACATTGTTATTTGTGGAGATTTTAATGTGAATCTGTTATGTAGTGATTTGTATAGCTCTCGCTTGTTAGAAGATGTCTCCGGTGTTGGTCTAGATGTGGTTAATGTGTCTGTACCCACTAGGTATGGGCAGAACTGCTGTCCCAGCCTTCTCGATTATTTCATTGTGTCTGATACGTCCATTGTTTTGAAGTTTGACCAAATGTCATTTATCTCGGACCATGATCTTATTTTTTGAGCAATTGATATTAATTTTGGCAACCATAGTATTTCAGCTAGTCCATCACAATAGCCCAACTTCGCTCTGGCTAGTTAGCAGTGTATAATATCTTAAGAAATTTACGAATGTCTGCAACTTTTACGCCGGTCCATGTTAGGAGAAAACTCGCTAGACAACTAATAATGCCTATCATTTGCTACCCTGAACTAGTCTACAGTAAACTAAGCTCTAAATCTGCTCATAAAATTGATGTTACATTCAACCATGTTACACGCTATGTGTTCGGGTTGGCAAAATTTGACCCTATCTCTGGTTGGAGAAAGAGTTTACTAGGCTGTGAAATTGCTAGCTGTCTGAAAGCCAGAACCTGCATCTTTCTCTGTCGGCTTATTATGTATACGGAGCCAAGCTATCTATATGACAAGCTCATTTTCCCTCAGTCAGCTCGAATTAATGACTTGATAGTACCAAGTTATAATTATTATACCTCCGCGCGGCTATTCTTTGTCAATGCTATTCGTACATGGAACTCTATTCCAATGTTCATTCGCTGTAGTCTAAATAAAAGCAACTTTAAGTTCGTTCTATATTCGTACTTTCGTTAAAACAAATATATACATATGTATGTACATATTTTGCAAAATTATGAGTTTCGCTATCTAAATATATATTTTTCGGCCAATACGGATAGCCATTGTATTATTTTTAATTGTATGTTTATTACAAATCTTAGTCTTAAGAATTACTATTTATTTATTTTATTTTTCTGCTTTTCCTGTTTATTGATGTACTATAAAATATCGTAGACCTTATTGTACTAATGTTTTTTCGCAATAAATGAAATGAAATGAAATAAAATGAAAGATATTAACCTAACCTAACACCATTCATGCAACTTTAAAAGTTTGTAACTTTTTAAATAGACGCCTTCGCGCTCTGGGGTTTGGTTAGAATCGGAAAAAGCTCTACACGCCCTCATTTTTATTTTTTTCAAATTTGGACCGAATTTAAGGAAAATTTTCCCTGCCAGAGTGCCAGGCCACTTGCTCAATTTGGTGAATACCACTAATAATTTGCTGGGGTGGCAGTGCTAGTTGAGCAAATTACGAAAAGTATAAACGTCATAAGCACAGTATAGCCAAAAATTTCGAAGTGAAACTACCTTCTTTTTACCTTCCTTTTATTAACTCGGGATGTAACTATGTAATATTGATGCGCCTAAAAGATACAGGGATTTCTATTCTCAAGTTACATACCTGATGACAGTACGAATGGCAATTATAATAGGGAGGTTTTAGTTTCTTTAACAATAATTTTATTTCATAGTGAGCTACAAGTGAGTTGAACTGGTTATCTCTTCTACCTTGTTATATATGCATTGGAAAAAATAATTTTTTCATTTTTAAACATACCTTGCATTTCTCTTCACCACAAAATATTTCAACAATCATATTATTATCCTTGGCGAATTTATATGAAAAAGCTCCATGCTCTCCATCATGATTTTTCGTTTCCATTTCGAAGGCCAAAGCAACATTATTTTGATTCTCACTTAGCGGGCGACCATTTATAAGCCTCTTATTTTTAGAGAAACTGTAATTTTCCTTACAATCTGGTAATTTGTACTGAGTATGGCAAGGTATAAAATTGTCTCCGCCAAAGCTTCCAGTTGATATATTTTCTAACGAGTTAAGGTGGTCTGATATTTCATACGAATTGTTCCAACTTTTGGGCTTTTCCTCTGCATGGAATTCTCTGAAAACGGTGAAAGTAAGTTTGATAGCAAAAGCTTTTATTTAGAAATAATTACCTAACAGACTTCCTTCCACTAAAACTTATCCGACGTTTTGGTTTTGAAGTAGAGACTGCATTGGGTTCTATTCGAGGATTTGATGTGGAGTCCGAATTCCTTAGCTGAGTAAACATTTATTCATAGACTCGATATAAATACCTTGGTAAAAGAATTATATGTGCATCAAGTTTTCCTTCGATTTCTCAGCATTAAATAAGGGTACAGTTAGTTAGTTAGAATAGCCCTTGGTTTATATGTATTTTTCGTACAATAGGTTGGTATTCCAGTATAATTTTATTCACCGTTTCACCAATTAGTAGTATATTCAATAGAGAATTATTATATGTATGTGCATAAGGAGTTATTCGGCTTCAATTGGTGCAGTGTTATAAATTCTCAACAAAAAAGTACACTAACTAAAAACCTTTACCCTCATTTAATGCAGAGAAATTGGGGGCATACATCAAGATTACCAACCGTTCAGCTATAGAAAAACTAAAAATGCAGATTGCTAGTACTTTTTACGCTAATTTTAACTATATAAATATTATTTGCCGCAAAAGTAGATATAAAAGGTAAAACAAAAAAATATTGATATTTTAAAATATTAATATTTTGTAAACTGCGCAACCGATTCAAAAGGTAATGATGTCAAAATAGAGACAATTAATTTATCTTCAAGCTGATATATAAAATATGTATGCTTTTTTATATATTTCAGCGGAAGATATAAAACAAAAAAATTTTCATAATTTTTTCTTAAAACAACCTTTCTTTAGAAAAAGTCTATAATCAATGCAAACAAAATTTATATTATTTAGAAAGTGAAAGTTTTTACCTTTAATTTGATATACCTATTATATTATGATTTGCTTTTGAGTTTTCAGAATTCAGTGATAATAAAAAATATGTATAAAAAACATGTATGTATGTGCAAAGGCATATTGTAGTTAATTAAACGGGTTGGCTTTCCATTATGGCCGTTCGTTAAAGGGGCGGTTGGCGAAAGGTAAGTGGGCGTGGCACCTCTAACCCACCTTTTTGGAGAGGGAATGAATCGCCATTGACACAAATGCAACCCCCGACCACCTAGGTCCCCCTATGGTTCCCTAGGGACCCCTTAAAAAAATTGCCAAAAATCACAATTTTCATTTGCGTTTTTTTCGCTTGAAAAATGTTAAATATTCATTTGCACAAACATTTTTATATACGCATTTTTATATACAAGACAGTAACCATAATAGACATCACTGGGGCTGCAGCCCCAGGTTTACCACACCGAAAGGGAATTCTAGTTACCTCAACCTTTCCCAAGACTACATCACTGGGGCGGTGCACACCAGAAGGAAAATTCTATTTGGTGAGGGTTATAGTCCCTAAGTGCGGCCGAGGGCCGCTTACACAGAAAGGTGTTCTCTGCAAAGGTGTTCAGCTCCGCTTCTTCGGCAATGCAGAAAGGAGAATTCTACTTTGTAAGGGCTATGATCCCTAAGCGCGGCCGAAGGCCTCCTACGCAGAAAGAAGTTCTGGGCAAAAGAAACTATGACATCACCCACCCTTGTCACTTTCTTGTAAATGCTTTTAATTTTTTTATCACTGAATTCTTAAACCTCAAAAGTAGATTATTATAAAATATGTATATCAAATTAAAGGAAAGCACTTGCATTTTCTAAATAATATATGTCTTTAGCATTGACTAGCAGACCCGGCGAACTTCGTCCCGCCCAAAATTTTTATATATTTTATTGAAACTTTTTGGTCCAAAATTTGTACCAACAATTCATGTTTACGATTTCCATTGGCACATTTGTCTGCTAAGATTAAGGTTTGGTGGTTCTTTGCCGCTTTAAATAACCTAAGGAAAGTGTTAAACTATGTTCACATTACCAACATAAAATACTTAGTTTCGTTTAAAATACCTCACTAAATTAAGTGCGTTCATACACGCGTTTCTTTATTTGGCTTGACAGCTTTGAAGCAACCCTGTGTTATTGTTTATTTAACGAAAAGAGATCGCGAATGTGAGTAATTGCGTATATTTTTATATTCTGAGTTGTTTGTGGTAATTTTTTAGATTTTAGATGAGTGATCAAAAGAGAAAGCTTCTGGAAATATTTTACAAACTACCACGCGCGATTATTAAAAACAAAAACGTCTAAACACAATGACATATCAGTTGTGGGACAATACTTTTTTCGATTATTATCGATAAAATTAGAGCCGACACTGATTTGTTCGTGCTTTGGTTCTTGGTTTAAGATAAACTACGTACTTTCATCTTAATTTACTGAGAGACTTTACAAAGCGAAATTACTTAGTTTGTAATTAATTTATGCGTAAATTAAGATTGACCTCTAAATTACGCCAATGGGAACATAGTTTTATATCCGTTCTTGAAATTCACCAGTTGTGTGGAATTTCATAGCACGGTTATTCGCAAAGCGAAATAAATTTTTTCCTCTTCACTCCCTGGCGGCAACAATGACCCGGTTCTATAGTGAATGTCCTAGAAGCTTTACAGTATAGTAGGTGGCAATTTCAAAATGGGTGGGTGAATCATTGTTCTACAGAAATGCAATATACATATACTTATTTCAGACGAAATACCTTAAAAGTTTGAACGCACAATAATATTGGAAAATCACATCCATTGGGCCAATTGCAACGCAGGAGCGTTCGATATACTCAATGGTGCAACAGGTCGATTTAATCTGACCTTCACGGCCCCTTTTCTCACTTGGCTATTTTTAGTAATAGCTCGACTTCAGCACCACTTGGCAGCACGTTTTTGCAATAGTATTGCATACATATTTAAAACATTAGCCATATCGGATCATAAATAACATTTTTAGTAATAGCTCAACTACAGCGCCAACTGTCGGATTAAATTGTGAAACTAAACCATCCAGAGACCCACTCAAATACACAAAAAGTTTCGTTAAAATCCTTACAACCATTTAGGAAGATTTCACTCACAAACACACCTACAGAAGAATAAAAAAATTCATTCAAAGATAGCTAAAGGTCGGTAGGTTTGTAGGCCTCACACCCCTTTTCAAATAGCCCAAATTTTCTCCATGAGTATGGGCTTGATTTCAACTATATAAATTTTCTCCATGAGTATGGGCTTGATTTCAACTATATACATTCTCCATACGAAGTTCCAGTACTGTACCATGAATACTTTCAGAGATATGCAGTATAAAAATTCGATTTATATGGGAGGAGCCACGCCCCCCTTTCCAACAGCTGCCCTCTTTCTTCATGAGTCTGCGATTGATTTCGTATATCTCCATACCAAGTTCCAGAACTCTACCATGAACACTTCCAAAGATAGGCAGTATGAAAAATTCGGTTTGTATGGAAGATGCCACGCCCCTTTTCCAATAGTTCCAATTTTTCTCCATGAGTATGCGATTTATTTCGTACATCTCTATACAAAACTCTAGAACTCTACCAAAAAATTTCCAGATATAAGCAGTATGAAAAATTCGGATTTGTATGGGAGATGTCACACCCCTTTTTACTATAGCTAAAATTTTTCTCCAAGGGTATGCGATTGATTTCGTATATCTCCATACCAATTTCCAAAACTCTACCATGCACACTTTCAGAGATATGTAGCATGGGAATATCGGTTTGTATGGGAAGTGCCACGCCCCCTTTACATATAGATTTTTTTCAGCCTAAAACCATCCTTGGGACACGTGGGGCAGGTGGCAGTTTCAAAAAAATCGGTTCAGCCGCTCTCGAGCCTTGCGAAAACTAACAAACGGCTTTCTAAATATAAATTATTTGAGATATATTATATATTATAATTATATTTTGACAGTATCCGTTGGTTCTGATTGGGGCAAAAAAATCTTGCCTAGTGACGAATTCGCCCCTTGATATGGTCGTTACTTAAAGCTATTTATATTCGAAATTGCATGAAAATTGGAAAACAGGAATCTATAAGCTTATCCAGGCAAAAAGCTACCTATGTACCGAATTTTAAGCAAATCGGACCATAAATACGATTTCTTCGAACAGATCGGTCCCTGGTCCACTTCTCGGACAAAATGATATATGATAATATATGCTAAAAAGCTACCTACGTACCGAATTTTAAGCAAATCGGACCGTAAATACGATTTTTTTCGAATAGATCAGTCCCTGGTCCACTTCTCGGAAAAAATGGACCATATATCCTAATATATGCTAAAAAACTACTTACGTACCGAATTTTAAGCAAATCGGACCATAAATGCGATTTTTTCGAATAGATCGGTCCCTGGACCACTTCCCGGAAAAAATGGGTCATATATGCTAATATATGCTAAAAAGCAACTTACCTACTAAATTTTAAGCAAATCGGACTATAATAAGATTTTTTCGAATAGACCGGTCCCTGGTCCACCTACCCGAAAAAAAGTAAAAATTTTTTATCCTAAAACATGGTGGTTACCGAAAGCTATTCGTATACAAAATTTCATGAAAATCGGAGCAGCCGTTCGCGAGATTACCTGTTACAAAAAAAAGGGACTTCTCTTTATATAATTAGTATAGATTATGCACTTTTTTCTAAAAATGGTTATTTTATGAAAAAATTATAACATTTTATTTTTTTTTATATTTTTGGCTTAAATATTAAGGCAAGCAAACACATTTTATATATCAACTTAAAGGTAGATTAATCAATTGTTTTCCCAACGAGTGTTGGTGGACGTGTTTCGGCGCATAATATTGGATACCTTCTTTTTTGGCGCAACGGCACATGTGTGTGTGCCTTGTAAAATCACCATTTTGATTTAAGTGGATAAGCAAAACCTAAAAACTATAGCCTTTTTCAAGGCTGACGCTTTTGAGTACAGACGGTGCTTCGCTTTTGACGTCACAGCGTATTTTTTTGGACAAATCTGCGGAATTTTTTAATTCACCGGAATTGTGTGGGAGCACCCAAGGTTCAGGTGAGTGATTGTGACTTTAGTGTGGGGTTGCGAAATCTCTTGTGCTTTTGTTTTAACTTTTTTGCCTTAAAAAAATCAAGCCTGCCCCCGACGGCAGGAAAAAACCCGAAGCCGCTATGGCATCCTCACTATCGAGGACGTCATCGGCAGATGACTTCGAAGCTTTCCCGAGC